AAATCCTTTACGAAAGAGAGCATATAAAGAAGGAAGTTCCTATTTACGCATTTGACGAAATGCGAAGAATACTTCAGGAAATCGAACTGAACTTGACTAATTTTTTTGATCAACACTATTCGGCAGCTCGACCACTTGAACGCAATGAACAAACAATAGATCGTATGAAGAGATTAATGGTGCTCATATGCTATCTTTTCGCTTCATTGAATAATACTAAAATTAATTGTTTTAAGGTCGACCTTGCATATTACTTAGATTCAGTGGGTACAAGTAATGAAGGCCTGAACACAATAGCAAACCTTGGCGTGTCCATCACGGTAAGAACAGTAGATCATAAAAAGAAGAAGATGTCAGATACATATAGGGATATGTCGAGAACTCTCTTGAAAAAGATTCGGAAAATGCCTTTATATTAAATGTTGACAATTATCACAATATTCATGTTCAAAGACAAGCTGATACTACTAACATGTCTTGGGCAGTTCACATGACTACGATCTTAGCTAATCCATATTCTTCACCAGCGATTCCACGTAGCGGAGCAATCAATTTGAAGATCATTGATGGCGAATTGATTTCAAGGCATATTGACAGGCGATTTATTGTAAACCTTAGTATTCCTTACCATGATCGTATATGAGACTATATGGTAAGAGATTCTTCTGATGATGAGATTTTGATAGATAGACTAACGATACACAGTTACAATTACCGGCTGACGGAGAAAAGGAATAATCGTCATATACAAAATGCAATTCTTATTGACTTCATCGAAAACAATTTGAAAAGCGTAAAAGATTATATGAAAGCTCTTCAAATTGTGAATGATCAACAACCAATGCAAGAATATTTATCCAACTATATAATTCCCATCATTGCGGACTGGCCTGGTCAGTTATTTATTCGAAAAGCTATTGCACATCGACTTCTCCTCAACGACGAAAGTATTCCCCCGTTTGTCACATTGTTTTTCCCTATTATGGGCCCTCTTCATGTATTCTTGAATTCCCGCGAGCTTATTTTTGTAAAAAATTCATTTTTATTTAACGATCTTTACAAAAATATATTCAGAACACATAAGATTCTTGGTGAAAGGCCACAACCATGGAGAATCGATCTAATTCTCCATATCGTGCACATGGCATGGTTTGATATTGTTGATACCGTTTATTCAAAGTTTAGTAATACGTGTAAGAATATAGAATTTTTATATCTAATCGATTTACTAAGCAATTTGATTCCTTTAGTTCTCGATATCTACGTGATGCATCATCGAGAGGGCAATTGGCTGGCCTATGAAGAATCTTGCATGTGTTGTTAGAGCGATCTATTCCTTCAGTTTGATCGAAGGAATTACAAACGTGCTCCATTAATATTTTTTTCGGATATTTTCCATTGGATGAAGATTAATCATCCGATGATGGGCATGTTTACTAATCATCTTGCATCGCTTAGTGATTGCCCTATAGAAATTGCTCACAGTATTATCTGATGATGTACTGCTAAATTTTCCACATCTGAACAATTGCAAAAAGAGGCATGCTTTATTTTTCAACATCGACAGGATAATGATTTTTGACAGCATTTTGTAGATTCTGTAAAATATCCATATCAACCAAAGCAATTACGAATGCTTTCTCAAAAGTATGCGATATTGCTTTTAGACGCGTTTACGAAAATATATCACGCGCGTCATCAGTATCCTTTTATTAAATTTTCATCCAAAGACGGTATTAACACCTACAAATTGCTTCATTAGGTTATGAAATAACCGATCGTCACCTTCCAAGAGGCTTTGTCACTTCCAGGAAATCAAATACAGCTATTTTATGTGACTATGTGTATTGTAATTCTACTAACGATTCGCTTAATGGTAGCGTTCTGGCGTGCGGGCATGGTTACCATGGTTTATGCTTGCAAAGATGCTAGTTTAAATGTTTAATATGTATGGATTACCTTCAGGACGAAGTTAAGAAAAATGTTGATGCTCAGATGACAAGTTTTTTGAAGACGAAACCAAGTTCAGAAGAATTCATTCGAGAAGATAGTGAAACTGAAATCAAAAATGATTTGGATGATGCGGAAAAGACAACGGACGATGGTTTAGTAATAGAAGATTTATTAGAAAGTGCAAAGAAATCATTTATAGAATTATAATTTTATTTTTTATTTTTAAATAAGTCAATTAATCTTATAAGATTGGGCATCTTATCTAACTATTAATGATTTATGCTTTTGTGATATAATTTTACTGATTTATGTAACTCGCATCAGTTACAATAGTATTTTTTATTTGGCGTCACGTGATAGAATTCACGATTTTGATTGGTTGACAAATATGGAAATTTGTGTAACAGGGACAGTCTCCCTCAGAATTCAGCTGTTGTGCTGTTGTCTATCATTTTCTTTGTGATACAAAACAAAAAAAAACTGCATATTATGTCATAGCCTTAATGGTTTTCGCGAGCGGATGTTCTTTGAATATTTGAGATCTAAACAAAATGAATTTGAAGGTATTCAAATTATTGAGTTTTCGGCAAAGTTTTCCTTAAGGTTGACGGAAGAAAAACTATTAGCTCCTTCATATAATCTTATTGGCTGAACAGCCGGTTTATTAAAGAACTCCATAACGAAGAGAACAACAACAAATGTATTTTTTTTATGTTCTTAATTCTCTTAACTAACGACCAAAATTTATTATTAGGGATGTTAAAGCTTTCTAAAAGCCCCAAGAAAATTACAAGAATTATTTTTACAAATTTATTATGAAACTTGTCTATTATAATGTTTTAATGAGCTACTTAATGAAAATAAATAATAAATCCTCTTGGAATCCCAGAATTTCTTAAAATTTAAAATTTTAGACCGGTCCTATACTTAGCGGTCCCATCAAAATTGCCAATTTTAAATATCATTTTCGCTTTTTACGGATTAAACTTCTCTAGAGTTAGTAATCTCTTAAATCGTAAGGACCGATTAAGGACCGCTTAACATTCCTATTTATTATTAATAGTCCTATTATTGCCAACATTCCATATTAATTTGTTCTTCATTTTCAATTGCATTTGAAAATATTCTTCAAATCTTTTATATATATTCTTTCGTTTACAATTTAATTTAGTGAAATGAAAGAACATGTCGGCTTTAAAATGGATCAATTTTTAACTTTTATAGGTTTTAACAATCCTGCTTGTGGAATAGTGGGATTTTTAGAGGTCTCAAGTTTATTCTTGAAATATTCTTCAAAACTCAAAAGTACTTTTAAAAGAGCAAGGAACATAACTGAAGATAATATTACATGGCTTCTTAATTTATTTGAATTCTCGTTTAAAATATGGTAAAAATATTACATATTGAAAATGGATCTTAATTATTGGTGATGAAGATCACTTAGAATTCGCATTCTCTTAGTTATTTATTTCATTTTGCAAAATGCTCTTGTTTGTTCAATTCTTGAAGCAACAAAAAGAGCAATAGCCAAATTTCTTATTTTAAAAATT